AAGCACGGCACACTTCAGCTTCATCACTCCTCCTTGAGCGACGCTGGTAGCGGAGCTCATACACTCCACACTGTACTTGTGCCGGCTAATTCACATTCATCAGCGCTCCCGAAGAGATCGTCCATTATTATCACGGCAGCACTGACAAATCCGCAATGCTCTCGATCTGGCGTTGCGTAGCCCCCAACATGTTTCATGTACATGAAAGGTGTCACCATGCGGACTAACGAACACTGGTCCGGGATGCCATTCTCTGACAGGGACTGGAACAGGAACATCTCTATCAAGGTATTCAATAATCGGGACGTAGTCCTCATCAATCGTGGTCTGAGTACCGGCGTCCTGGGTACGTGCTCGTTCATTGGGTCGAAGACTTAGGCCAATAGGGGGTTGTGGACTCGAAGTCATAGAGGCTGAACCTATCCTTGACTTAGATGTAGTCCGCGGGGTTGATCTGGCTGGTGACATAGCAGGGGCCTTCGAGGTTGCCGTAGGGGAAGGAGGCCTCGGAGTAGGCGTAGAATCATCTCGCTCCGCGATCTGGGTCTCAAGTTCTCGCTGAACTGCTTCCCGGAGCCTGCGAATCCTCCTGGTTGACCTTGGATCCGATCGAACACAGATACGGTCAATGCACATCCATACAAACTCCCAAAGTCCAACAACCGCAACCGCAATCAGTGCGATCATCGCGTAGAGCTCGATGGACATAGTGTCCAGCGCCAAAGGTTCCTGTGCCCGCGCTGACTGGATCATCGTGCAGAGGATCATGGCCCGTAGCATCGTAGTCTTTGCTCCCTCAGTCAAGCGCCCAATTCCCCACATCACAACCAATTCCTCTAGCCTCTGGCGTGGAAATGATTTGGTAAGAAGATCGGCTAGCTGCTGCTGGCCTTTGACGTACCTTATCTGAACCTTGTTGTTCTGCACCTGTTCCCGGATGAACGCAGACCGCACTCGCAAGTGCCTAGTACGCCAAGAAGTCGAGCCAGCCGGCTTCGCGATTGCGATGGCGGATTGGTTGTCCACCGCCAACTGTATCGGTAAGTCAACACCCACCAGCTCCTCCAAGACCGCACCCAAGGACATCGTCATCTTTAGGCCCTCTATTGCAGCGGTAAGTTCGCTTTCTGCCGTTGACAGGCATACATAAGGGGTCCGTGTTGCCCTCCACGACAAAGGAGCACCTCTCCAGGTCACCAAGATCCCGGAGTGGGACCTCTTCCCTTCTGGGGCATAGGAACTGTCCGTAAAGGTGATTAAGCCATCTGAAGTTGGTGCTATGGTCAAGGCATACTCTTGAGTGTGCTGCAGGTAGGACAAAAGTCGCACCCCAATAGCAATGCAACGAGGAGCAGCCCGACTAATCAAAGCACCCATTGCATTCACCGTGAAACTCACATCTGGGCGCGTCCGCTGGGCCAACCATAACAACTCACCACATAGACGCTGGGCGAGTTTGATCTCTTGCTCATCACCCTTTGGCTCGTCCGGCTCAGCCTCAAACGTGACCAAATGTCTTGGTGCCTGTATGGGAGAGGTCGCGGTGTCGGGTACATCATGTGCTCGTAGAATCTCCTTGATATAAGGCTGCTGGTGGAGGTAGTAGCGGTCCCTGGCCTCGGTCGTGAGGATCTCACACCCCAAAAACCTTGTCCCATGAGACGCTGAAAGTATCTCCAACTCCGTAGTTTTCCACGTTGAGCTCAGTTTGGCAGCGATGGAACGTAGTAGAACAACTCGTCCGCACAAGAGGATATCGTCAACGTAGATCAACACTAAAGCACCTGGGCTACCTTGGGGTTCTCCCACTTTCACAAGTAGCCATAGGTTCGGCTCCGCATCCCCTTGCTTCAGCATCCACTCAGCATCCTCAGCCAGGAACCTCATCTCCTTGATGGTGTGGTCACGAAACTCAGACCAAAGCCTAGGGCTTTGTCGAAGCCCATACATTCCATGGGTGAGGATCCATCGCTCATTCTCTGATGCCAAGCCCAACTTCACCAACACAGCCGGGGGCTGGACCGCGTAGACAACTTCATCGGGTCCTTGAGGAAGAGGAGTCAACATGAAGGCTCCAGCGATGTCCAGGAGTCCTGTAAACCATCTCGACCATGCCGAGAACGTCAAACAGCTCCTCAAGCTTTCGGCCGCCGCACCGGAGGCAAAGATGTCCGCCTGGTCGGGCGACGCATAGTTTCCACAACAAACAATCCTGGCCTTGCGCTTGCAATACTTGGCTTCCCCGGTGCTATTGTCGTCATTGGCCGGTGGTTTCACTGTATACACCAACTTTGCTGGTAACTCTTGAACCTTGCGGGTGGCCTTCAGGTCGCGAATCTCCTCGACAGTGGACCGTCTGAAACCCTTCTCAACAACTCCAAGCTCTTTCTCGATGGAAGCCTTCCACTTGGGTAGCACTTGCCGTACTTCTTGAGGACTCACATTATGAGTGTGCCGAAGAGGGGTGTCATTATCGATAAGTTCCTTGATCACCTCCTCGATGTTGGGGGTATACTCGGGCTCCAACTTTGCAACCCTTGGACTCAAACATCCATCTTCCCCAACCCATTCCTCAGCACACGCTGCTAAATCCTCCTGGTACGTAGCATCCGTGTTGGATCCAAGGATTGACTGAGAGGTCCTCCACAACAACTCTGCCTCGTTCCCAGGGCCTGCAGAATCACAAATCTTCCGAAGTATGTTACCATCACCACCCCCTTGTACCTCCTCCTCAACGTAGATACCCCAATCACCACAAGCTTCATCATCGTCACGAGTAACACTCACATTCTCCACATCGTCAGGGGAAAAGCGGACTCCATCCAACTGATGCTCCTGCGGAAAGGAGGTTGCCTTTAGCGCCGGTGTGGTTTCCAGCACCGCTTCTTCACCTCGTACTTGTGGCTCAGGTAAAGGAAAGCCACAGCTTTCCAAATGTGTTTTGTCGGCCTCAGACAGCCGATGAACACCATGAGGGGTGTAGGCTGACAAAAACCATTTGGCTCCGGTATCCTTGATATAGCCATGAGTCAACCTGGGACTGAAAATAGCGGGGTTCTTCTTGATATCCACCAAACAACCGTTGTGGATGGTTCCATCTTCAGCTTGCCACTGATGATCCACTGCGTGAGTTCCACCTTGAACCCCCCGATCGTCATGATCATCTTGTACCCATAGTCCAGCATATTCATCACACTTGATCTCAATGACATAGTTCTTACTTCCCCGTTGATTATGCACATCTCTATGCATCGGGACCTCAGAGGCATACTGCAACGCCAACGTCGCCCATGTAAACTCACCACCATCCTGTGCTCGGAATGTCTGCTTGAGCTTCTTGGTAAGGAACTTATTGAAATACATGGTGGTCCACTTTAGTTCTTTACCCAATGAAGTCACTCCAAATGCACCTCCATGGACATAGGCGCCGAGCAAAATCCCACAACCGTCCTTGGCACGCGGCACCTTGAGGTTTCCACAGTCATACCCTATCTTGTCCAATAGAGCAGCACAGCCTCGCGCATTGGGGACACCTGCCTCTACCATCTTCGCGGCCATGAGCTCCAGCTCGTAGGTTTCAGCCGATCGTAACACCAGCAGTTCAGGGTCCGTGCTTGTAGTAGATGAGGAATCATCACCCACTTCGCTTGGCGAGACATAGTCGGGGAAGAAAGGTTGCAATCTTCGAATCCCTGGGCCCTTTTTCCGGGCGCGAACTCTTGGTGGAGGTAGTTCATGACGTTCACCTGGTGGTTCGATATCACCCACACCGGCACCATCCGGAGGTTCATGGGAAGGTGGTGGTAGAGGAGGTTCATCGCAGTCTTCTGGATCAACAACGATCGTTGGCACCAGGGAATCAAGCGGAGGAGGATCAACCGTGACCCTCACATGGGTTGTAGTTAAGAACGTGCCCGAGGGCTTCAAGATCACATGGCCACCCCTCACATCAGTGGATGGTCCTAAGTATTGTCCTTGCAACCAATGGGGGGTGAAGCTCTCCACGTCACCGGTCTTGTACTTTTTCACCTTGACATACACCTTAGCTCCGTAGGCGACCACGGTGGGGTCCGGTATCCCTAGTTTCCAGCAACGCTGCTGAACAGCAGCCGTCTGAACAGCTGTAGGCCAATGTACCCGTGGTAGTCGCGCCGCATCAAGTAACGTCCGGGCACGCCGCTTTAAATAGCGCACCCCAGCTTCGGCGACTCCATTCTCGGCCGGCTCCGAACCGGTAGAAGTAGTCCTCAAGATGCCCTGAGCGGCCAGCCAACGTTTCACCAAATTCCCACGAAATTCTCCTCCTCTATCAGAGTGAACTCGAGCCACCGGGTACCCAAGCGCCTTGATCTCCGTCACCATCTGCTGGAGGGCCGGCAAGGTGTAGATAACCTTTTTCCCAGTGATCGGCACACAAAAGTACACCGTCTCCGTCTTAAGAGGTTCCTTGAACGTAGCCTTGAGTCGCTCCCATTGCTCCTTCTCCTTTTGCAAGTCATCACCGCTGAAGTCTGGGATCTCCTCCTCAACCTGTACTTCCTCGGGGTCCACGTCTTCCTCGGACAGCTCCTCGTCCTCCCCAAAGTCGCCTTCTGGAAAAGGATGACCATGAAGGTCGTCATCGCGTCCAAGACCTCCTTCCACGACCGGCAATCTAAAGGCGCCGACGAGGAAGTATCTGAAATGTTTGCCATCTGGGGACAAACCGTGACCACGAATTGGTCCAGCAACATCAAGGGATAAAGTGTAGGCCGATGGATGGGCTGTTGCCCTATGCTGCTTTCCTGTAGCAGCATTTCTCACACAAACAGAGCAATCCCGTCGAAACGGGGTGTGGTTTCGCATCACGTGCAGCCTCCACGCTGCATCCGAGTCCATCTTGGCCAGGCGGGCAACTCGCCCCCCTGTGAACTTTTCCACCAACACATCAAAGAGGCCCATCTCGTTCATATAGGCCACGGCATCACTGTGTGAACTCCAAGGAACCGAAGTTGGCGGTGTGGTAGAAGATCCGGTGGTGGACAAGGCACTCGGGTTCTCCACATACAAACGAACAGGCTCTCCTCCTCGAATGGCACGTCCAGCCGAGGATAACGCGTGCAACCAATGCACCTTGCCACGGTGGGGGGCTGCGGAAAGCTGGTCCATTGGACGAAGCGTGGTGTCCCGTGCCACCACGGTACTAACTAGGCCCTGAACAGCTGCCCACCATACCACCTTCCATACATCAACAAACTCATTCTCAACCAACAAAGTGTTCATATTGAGGTACACCGAGTCCCCAACATAGGCCAAATGACGCAACTCATCACGGCTGCGATCCACAGAAGGTGGGTCCCAACGAACCATCCACGAGGACGCCCTCAACAGGCGCTTCCGCGCTCTCCGGTTCAAAGTGAGAGCCTTCATGAGCTCCCAAATCCCCGGCCGTGGCTGCCGGATCACCATGTCATTCTTTATCACGTCCTTGTAGCCGAGAAAGTCAGCCTTGTCGACTGCCCTTCTGCCGCACTCAGTACCTCCATTTTGAATATAACTCATCAAGTGGGACCACCAGCTCTGCTTCACCTCAGTGATCGCCTTCACGCTGGCGGAGGTAGTCTGTCGTAGCTCAGGTAGCTGTTTGGCTTCAAGCTGACTAATCAAAGCCGTTGCGGTTTCCTGAGGAAGTTCCGGACATCCCTTCACCACCCTTAGCGGCAACACCTCGCCCTCGTCACTCTGGAGCTCGCACACCTCCTGGGTCCAGTGCAGGCGGTATCCTAGGGTGGAGATAACTTTCCCCAGGGGGACGATGACTTGAGCTAAGTCGTCACTCGTGAGGAGGGTGCCGTCACAGGTCTGTTTCATAGTGACACTTGTGTCCCCGGCTAGCTGAACGCTAACGTCCCGGGCTTGCTGCCATTCATCATGGTCCCTTGGCCTCCTCAGTATGTGGGTTGCTCCGGAATCAAGGAGGGCATCGCGCGACCTTGGGGTTGTCATAGGCGAGGTCGTAGTTGTCCATCGGTTGATGGCGTTCAGGATAGGCTTTAGGACCTCCAACTTCTGGACCTCCTGCAAAACCTTCATCACCTTCACTTGGGCATCGGCTACCGCTTCAAAGTTGACTCGCCGTACACCTGCATCCGTAGGGGAGGTAGTAGATGTCGTGGCTCCGGTGTCGCTCGCGCCTACCGGAACGGGCCTCCCACCTGACTTCGGAGTAGCTTGCCCACCGCCGGGAGAGCGGCACTCCTTCACCTTGTGCTGGGTAGATCCGCAGCAGAGGCACTTTCGCTGTCTCGCCCCTTTGTCCAGAAGCGCCCAAGTATGAGGGAACCGGCACGAATTCCCTCTTCGACATCCCTTGTCTGATGCGAAGAACTTACACAAACCGCCGGAGCTCCTTGGGGCCGTTGGTGAAGTTGGGGTAGTAGGTGTAGTGGTAGTTGGATGTGAGGTTGTCGTTGTGTCCACGTGGTTGGTAATCGCTCTCAAAGCTGCTGGGGCCTCGGCCTTTGGGTTATTGTTGAGCCTCGCTTGCTGTTCCATCTCTGCCTGAAGGTGCTGCAGAAACGTTGTCACCGTAGTTGAGGAAGGACTTACATCCACCTGAAGAGTGCTCCGGATCAAACTCACTCGAAAGGCCAGCTCGCCACTCCCCTTGATGATCTGCCCAGTTATGCGATCAAGCCCTCGCACAAGAACCGATGCATCGGGTTCCGCCATTCCAAGAGTCGCAGCTCGCCTCCTCCAAAGGCTCCACTTTCGTAGCCCTTCAACGGCCTGGAGGGCCGTGTGACATTCATCTGGTTGCTCCAACATCCTCAGCACCAGCGTTTTCTCCTGCAAATTCCCAGGCTGGTACACAGCATATAGCTTGCATAGCACTACAAGCGACGAGACCTGACCATTGGCAATGATCTCCTCTCTGATCGTCTTTGGTACAGCCGAAAGCATCATAGCGGTTGCACGCCGTTCCACGCGCGCCCACTCGGGGCGAAGCTCCGTGCTCGGACGGGGCTGCAGCTGAAGACGAGCGAGCGGCGAAGCAGAGGCGTATTCACTGTACCACCTCAGGGCGTCCTTCATCGTTTCCTGCCACCAAGCCAGACTGGTATCCGACAAATCTTCCATTATCGGAGCTATGTGAGTCAACCAATGCAACAAGTCTATTGACCCCGTCAACCGCTGATACTCAGGTAGAAGTGGCAACTCTGTAATACCCGGCTTCACGGTTTCAGGCCGGTCACCTCGCCCACTCTGCTGCTGGCGCAGCAACGCCTCGATGCCCTTGGCCAGCGTAGCCAGAAGATGATCATCTGGAGCACCTGGAAGCTGTTCGGCAGGTAAAGGTGGTAGTGGAGGTGGAGGTTGTGGTGGGGGTACAGTAGGCATTGAAGTAGAGGTTGTTGCGGGTCTAGCCGTAGACGAATCTTGTGCAATGGAGTCATCTCTCCCCAAACCCAGTAGACCTTGTATAAATGCTCTTGGACCACCTGGCGACTGAGACCTCGTTCTACCTGTAAACAAATTACGGCCAGGACCAGGTAGAGGATGATTTGTAGGAACTCTAGCGGGAACTCCAGGGCCATATGCCTCAGGATCTACACCTTCAGCAAGCCTCCCTCCATCACCCGGAAGAACTGAAGCACCGCACCCGAGCTGGGAAGGATCACCGAGAACACTCCCTTCACGCCCAGGTAGAAGACCTTGCATCGCCACAGTGCTACTTGGACCAGGTAGAGGATGATTTGTAGGAACTCTAGTGGGAACTCCATGGCCGACGACCTGGGACTCTAACCCGGGGGGTGCCATAGTCATTTGCGATTGCGAAGCCAGCCTCATCTCATAGTTCTCCAGTTGCGTGCGAAGCCTCTGGGCCTCAAGAGCGGCTTCATCCGACCTCCGTTTTTCATCCTGCAACCTGCTCATCATTTCACCCATTGCAGCATCTAGTTGCCGAGAAACTTCTGCTTGTAGGACCTCCGGGGTAACACCCAACGAGCCACTCGAGTTGCTCTCAGGTCGCGGATCTGCGGCCGCTGGTGAGCTAACCATCACCGTTTGCACCTGATTTTGCCATGTACTCGTAGTGGTAGGGCCGAGTGCCTGAGGGGATGCCCATGAGGTCACCTCAACTCTCTTCTGAATATAGTCTCCCAGTCGTGTGAACCAGGACGGTTGCCTCCCTTCGCTTCTTGTAGTCACCGGAGATTGGCCCGGCAAAGGGGACGGCGTGAAGCGAGGGAACAGCGGTAGCTGCACCGCAGATCGTACGTCGCGCCCGGCTGCTAGTCCCTCATGCACTGACGAAACCTGGCCGGTAGTACCAACTGCCTCACCCTCGCTGAGCCCTGTTCCTGCCAAAGGAAGCTGACCAGGCTCTGCTGTAGTCTGCAAAATATCATCTGCTCGTTCTGCCATACCAACATGTACACCATGTTGTTCATCTCGTAGAGTAGGGGTGCCCACAGGTACCCCATTCGGTATGGCATGTCGTGCTGGTTGATCCTGAACATCATCACCTCGGCGCAGCGGCACCGAAGATCTTCCATACTCTGGTCCTTGATCTTCTCCTTCCAGCGTTGGGCTCATACCCTGCTGATGATCATGATCTCCCAGATGCCGAGACAGACGCATACGCGGATCCATGAGCAGACACAGCACTCGAATTCACTCTTTTTGGGACATGCGGAAGTTCATCAACTTGCTTCGGCGAACAGGTTCTTAGGGCTCTGCTGTGCTTTGCACTAACACTGAGCTTCCATGCTTGCCTGCCGTACATGTTGTCACTTCCAAGCCTTGAGCCATGCATAAGCACGGCACACTTCAGCTTCATCATTAGGGGGATGAGAGGACTGCAATGCCAGGTATCGGGGCCTGACATAATGTAGGGGCTTAATTAATTACCAATAATACTATTTTGGGGGGGTTCCTTATGTATAATTATAGCATAATGGGCCCTATTCTAATTATTAAGGCCGCTATATTATTCGTGGTTCTTCTTCTTCTTCTTCTGTCAGGATGTTGTCGGCAACATGCAGAACAAAGCTCCATCTGCTCATAGTTAACCCTAAACCCTAAACCCTAAACCCTAAACCCTAAACCCTAAACCCTAACCCCTAAACCCCTAAACCCCTAAATGACCATTGGCATTCGTGGCACCGCATCTATGGTCTGACGGCATTTAGAGATGGGGGTTTCAGAAAATAGGGGACCCAAATATAGTACCCTAAATAGTAGAATCCTTATTATAAGGACCCCAAAATAAGGGGGGTACCTTATTTTCGGAAACTCCCAGATAGGCTTCGAAAGTAGACTTGATGTAGTTGCGTTGATCTCGAAAGTCTGGCTGCAGCCCGTTTTCTCAGGACACACTCCCTGCCTGTACATCAATAAGCTGCGGGTGGCTGGAGTGCTGAAGGCTGGGACAGCAGAGCCCACCTTCTGAGGATGAATGATGGTGACGATGGCGACGATGATGACGATGATGATGGCCACGTTGATGATGATGGTGATGATGACGACGTCATTGACGGAGACAGTGGCCACGAAGGTGGTAATGATGATGATGATGATGATGATGATGATGAAGTGGCTATCGTTTTGTTTCCCACTGTGAAGATGGTCACGGTGCTGTTGCTGATGATCAGGGTGGTAATGGCGAGCATGGTGTCAACTGCCGATGATGGCGATGATGGTCAGCATGTGCTGCTTGTCCGTAGTGACGCTTCTGGGGTGATCGTGAGAATGAGGATGAGTGCAGATTGTGATGATCTGCATGGCGACGATGGTGTCGATCGTCATGGTGGTGGTGACGTAATGACAGTTGTGGGGCATGCTGCTGCTGGGTTTGACGGTCTCCTGGCCGTAGCGACACAGCGATGTCGGATGATGATACCGATGATAATGACGATGAACAACATGATGAGTATGTTGATAGTAACGATGAAACTGATGACTACGGTGATGTGGTGATGATGTTGTGTAAACAGGAGGAGGAGGAGGAGACGGCAGAGACGGAGGAGGAGGAGGAGGAGGGGACTTATGTTGATGTTTTTGGTGATGCTGCTACTGATGATGTTGGTGATTTGATGAGATGGTGTTGGTGGTGTTGTTGGATTTGGTAGTGATGGTGCTGCTGTTCCGCGGCGGTGTCGATGTTCATGAATACTAACATTTGGTGCTCTTCTTTCTGTGACACAGCCTGACGAGCGCGTCGTCACCTGAATTGCAGCCCTTGTCGATACCGTTGCCATCGCCACTGTGTTGCTGTTGCTGTTGCTGTTGCTGCTGCTGCTGCTGCTGCTGCTGCTAGAAACAGCAGCTGCGGCTCCTTGTTACTGTGCTTGTTGCTCTGACCAAAAACCCTAAACCGTAAACAGAGCACTCTAAGAGTCGAAGAACATGTCAAGCCCCAAAGCATACACCCAAAATCCCCGTCTTCAAGGACGCAGTGGACCCGTACATGGAGTCGGTCATGGAGGCGAGGTCTGCGATCATCTTACTGGCCTTGTCTTGGCAGTGGGTACTGAAGTGCTTGAAATCATAAACGTAGTGATGTACAAAATGACAGCGAACGTGGTTATTTTTTCATCATCAAAGACGTCTCAGCCACATCATAGCCAGAAGAGCTTCAAGCGCACTCACTAGCCGGCCTGATATGCAGCGGAGAGTTCAAGACGGCCGATATGTTCCACTTTATACAAGGCCTCATGGGATCAAGCTCGAGGTTTAGGGTTTAGGGTTTAGGGTAACCCTAAACCCTAAACCCTAAACCCCTAAACCCAAAACCCTAGACACGCGCGCTCCGCCCTGCTTCTGGCTGCAGCAGTATGTCATCGACAACCCCTGCAACTGCGAGCCACGATGCAGAGCAGTTGCACGGCATGTCATCATCCCTAGACTCCCAAACCCTAAGCCATGGAGGTTTAGGGTTTAGGATTTAGGGTTTAGGGTTTAGGGCTTAGGGTTAACTCAAGGGAGGGTAGTATCCGAAATCCAGCACCGCATCCCGAGTCCCACAAGACTTACTCGTGGAGAATCCACCGTGGCTTTGAAGGCCAGCTTTTACCCCAGCCGGTTTGGGCTTAGGGTGTGTTTGGGCCTGAGTCGGAGAGCATCGGAGCACACAACAACAAGCTTCACACTGATGCTCGCAAGAGTAGTAAGATGGAAAAGTGTGCGTCACATCCACCCACCATCCAGCTACACCCGAGCCTATGCCGGCGAATCCCTCTTTCATCTCTTCTCACAGCCCTCATGCACCATGAAACTTTGCTGCAAGGCGGGATTTGGAGCAAAAACGCCCTTTTCAGAGCCATGGTAACGACCGAAACGATCGTGCCGTGCCTCGAAAATGATGCCCACAAGGTGGGCGCGATCGCAGGGACCTCGGACTTTCAGGATTTTGGGATTCAGGTTGTAAGGCTTCCTTAAAGTGCTCCCCTAAATCCTAAACCCTAAACCCTAAACCCTGAACCCTAAACCCGAAACCCTAAACCCTAAACCCTAACCCTAAACCCCCTTAAACCCTAAACCCTAAAACCTCAACCCTAAACCCGAAACCCTGAACCTCTCGAGCTCTGTCTCTGACGGCCCAAGCGTCTGATGTTTGCTGCTACGGCAAAGTTTGGCGATGCTGGTGACTATGGGGATGAAGGTGAGACCGATCGATGGTGGTCATGGAGATGACGATGATGATTATGGAGATGATGATGATGGTGGTGATGATGATGATGATGGTGATGGTGATGAGGGTGGTGAAGACGGCGATGAGCGCAGTGCTTCTAGAGGATCGTGTTCGAGATGACGATGAGTATCTGGCCGTCTCATTTCTCGCCAGGCCTGTCACCTCTCTTGGTCGGGGGTCACGGTGTAGGGTTTAGGGTTTAGGGTTTGGAGTTTAGGGTTTCAGGTTTAAGGTTTGCAGTCAAGCAATCCTCAGTCGGTCCTTCCCTCCGCAGCCTTGCCGTGGATAGCTTGGTCCGTTCGTCCTACCTCCTGAGGGCTTCAACCGAGGATTGCGTGCAAGGCTGGCAGTTTCCTTGACGATGAGGGCGATCACGGGGAAGACCATGTTGGACCCGATGATGATGGCACTGCCGGTTGTGAAGAGGAAGATGAAGATTAGAGAAAGCCCTAAACCCTAAACATGGGATGAGAGCGGCGAAGACTCATGGTTCGATGACGCTGATGGCAGCGATGAAGGTTGCGCCGTTGGCCATGATGGTAGTGGTGGTGATGAAGGTGATGACTAATGACTAATGTAGGGGCCTTAATAATTAGAATAGGGTTATTGGGGCCCATTATACTATAAACATACTAAGGAACCCCCAAAATATTATTGGTAGTTCTTTCGACCCCTCCATTACGATGATGGTGGTGGTTATGATCTCGGTTGTATGTACATGCCTACATGCATATACATATTGCTTCGCTTATACAGATTATGATATATTTTCCTGAGCTCTGTGAAACCTCAGCGAGGTCGCAACCGCAACGGCAGTGGTCTCCAGCGGCACCGCCATATACTTGCACCATATCGGCGTGTGGGTCGCTGGTCTGCATTAATAGCTCCTTGTGTGCTCGTGGATGTGGCTTCGGATTGAGGTACTTACCCCAAAAGCCCTAAACCCTAAACCCCAATAGCCCTAAACCCTAAACCCCAAAAGCCCTAAACCCCAAACCTTAAACCGCAACAGCCCTAAACCCTAAACCTTAAACCCCAAAAGCCCTAAACCCTAAACCCGAAAAGCCATAAATCCTAAACCCCAAAAGCCCTAAACCCTAAACCCCAAAAGCCCTAAACCCTAAACCCTAAACCCTAAATCCAAAAGCCCTAACCCTAAACCCTAAACCCCAAAAGCCCTAAACCCTAAACCTTAAACCCCAAAAGCCCTAAACCCTAAACCCGGAAAGCCCTAAACCCTAAACCCAAAAGCCCTAAACCCTAAACCCTAAACCCTAAACCCCAAAAGCCCTAAACCCCAAAAGCCCTTAACCCTGAAGCCAAAAAGCCTAAACCTTAAACCCCAAAAGCCCTAAACCCTACACCCGGAAAGCCCTAAACCCTAAACCCAAAAGCCCTAAACCCTAAACCCTAAACCCCAAAAGCCCTAAACCCCAAAAGCCCTAAACCCTGAAGCCAAAAAGCCCTAAACCCTAAACCCTGGAGCTTCTAATGAACGACACATTGAAGGATCCCGCAGCCCTACAGTAAAAAGCCAGAAAGTTGGAACATCATCATCCCCATGCCCTTAAAGTAAGGTAGAGGGAATCCAAGCACGAATCATCCAAAATCCGTGTTCCAACTTTCTGGGGTTCACCATAAATCTTCCAAATGCCCAGCCCCAGAACTGTAAACGCAAGATCCGAAGTGCAGAACTTTAGGGTGAGTTGCAAGCCTTGACCCGTATTGCCCTGAAGGTCTTTGCATAAATTTAGAAGGGTGAAACCATTCCTTCGGAGTCCTCGTTCGGACCTTGCTACACTAATATAGGGGCCCAAGCAAGGGTTTAGGGTTTAAGGTTTAGGGTTTAGGGTTTAGGGTGGGCCCATGTAAGTACCTACACTATATATATATAT